GGTGTTCGGGCGACCACCGCGGCTCCGGGTAATCCCCTGGGGTCGGGCCTGTGGGCACGCGCGTGGCTGGATCCTTTGTGGTGGTCGAGCAGGACCTGTGGGGTGGGGGCTGGCCTCAGCCGGGATCCGGAGGTGCCCAGTGGTGGAAATGTGAGCTCAGGACCAGAGGGAAAAAGAAAGGGGCTGAAGTATGGGCGCTGAGAAAGGAAGTGAGGGTATACCCCAATTCGGACGCACTAGGAGGCTAAATCCCTCGTTGGATAATATCCTAGAAAGTGGGATTTGAGCATGTAGTCTCTGGTTTACGGTCATTTTTATACCCCCCAAGAACTTGCATGTTATTCATGTGGATGCGAGAGAATTAGGTACTGAAAGTGGGTGTGTGTCGGTGTCGCGCTCTCCGAAAGACTGGAACCTTCAATGCATTCTAGAATTTTAAGGGTGTTTTCCAGCACTGCTCCTCTCCACGTAGATTATGAACTCATAATCCCCAAACTTTTCTTGCACTAGGGGTTAGTGTGAACTAGTGTGGTGGTAGTGGTAATGCAATGTTTAATCTTGCAAATGAATTCTTTGGCTACCTTCTTATAGACAATCGGAATTGTTACCAAGTGTTTGCAGTTTTTATGTTTCAGTTTTTCTTATTCTCGAAAATAGCATTCCCGTCGAGGGTTGTGTCTTGAATCCTCACGTTACTTCAGCTAGATAAAAATGGTAGGAACAGACAAATACACCTTGGGTAGATAAAACAGGAGGCTCCTTTGCACGTGATCAGCACAGTGAGGTTAAATTGACACGAAACATCCTGAAGTTTTTTAAATGGAAGGGATTTAAGGGGTCGTTGCTGTTCTACCACTCTCCTACCCCAAACCACCACTCCAAAGCAAGCGACCTCTTCCCCCAGATTTTTTGGTGGAAAATATTGTTTCACTTCTTGGTCTAGAATTATGAGTCCTTTGTGGGAAGGGGGGTGGTGGAAATCGTGCTTCAGGGTTTCTGACAATGAAGTCCGCGTGCGAGTTGAGGAGGGTCGGGAAAGGATATAGTAAGAGCAGCTATATTCTCTGTTCCCTGGAAATCACCTCAAAACAGAAAAGGTTACCACATCTACCTTGGAGAGCTACCACGTAAAGCTTGAGTTTACTGAGAGATTTTGTTTTGGTAACCCCCATTTACTCCAACCCTCACATTTTTTCAGTGAATCTGAAACCCAGAAAGATGTTTGAAACCTCACTAAGATCATGTAGCTAGGTGGCCTAGCAAAGGCTGAGGCAGAGGACCCTTTATCCTCTCTAGTGCTTCCCATAACACTAGCCATAAAACCAAGTTTATTACATATTTCTAAACCTGTTTGTGTTAACGTATTTTATATGCAGTATGGTGGCATACTGTTTACAGAAATTTGAGGGTAAAATCTTCTGCAGCACAATTAGTCAGTGGCTTCTGTAAGGTTGATTATGAGTGTGTCTGATTTTCTTCAAGCTTGGTATATGGATTATGTACGTTGACTACTCGTAATTCTTGGCTTTAAAAACAATACAGGAAATGAGTATTAGGAAAATCAATATACTCCATTATTTTACTTTAACTCTTGGGTTTATTCACCTTGATAATAATACATTGTAGCATGGGCACAATAATAAGTGGAATTAAAATTTCATGCAGCATTCCAAAGTGGGAGAAGTAGGACATATGATGTACGAGTATGTTGACTATAGAACTGTATTTCAATGAGATTTCAGGGTTTATTGTCCAACTAAGAGAAAGGGAAAAAGTTACTTTTTAACAAATTATAAGATTGTTTTAAAATATATTTAAGATATATTTCTAACAGTAATAAGTATGTCCTAGAGATCTACAGTTATTAAAACAACAATTATATTCTATGTAGAATATAATGGAAAAGTCAAAAACATCTCTGTTGACTTTTGCATCATATTATGTGTAATCTTAAGAAAGCTTACAGGCGTGAAACATTTTGTTCAGGTGGCTTAGTAGAAATTAATTGACATCAGTTAAACATAGTAGAATAGAGACCCATGAGAAAATCCAAGACGACAATTTACCAAAATATTTCTTCAAGGCTTAACTTTTTCTTGAAGACACATAAATGGTTCCTTGTCATATGAATTTTTAGTCCTGTAAAATTGCTAGTTGAAGGGTGGGAATATAGAGGTCTTAAGTTTTTCCTTTTCTTTTTTTTTTTCTTTTGTTTTAATTGAGTAGCTATTTCATTAGTAAAGAATTCTATTTTCTTATTGTAGCTTGGTGTGTGCCTTGCCTAGTTTCACTTGATACTCTTCAGGAATTATGTAGAAAAGAAAAGCTCACATGTAAATCGATTGGAATCACCAAAAGGAATCTAAACAATTATGAGGTGGAATACTTGTGTGACTACAAGGTAGTAAAGGTAAGGCCAATATCTAGCCCCTTAAAAGAGACGTAATCAAACTTCAATTCAGTATTTCATATTTCTGTAACATAAAAAGAACCTTAAAAGTAAGCAAAGCTCTTCTTAATGTTTAAAATTCTAAACCGTAAAAATTTATATGTCCTATCATCTATATTGCCAAATAACATTGAGAGGATTTTGAAACATAAAACGTTCTTGCATTAGAATGTTTTAAGGTGCTTGTATCATTCTACATCCAACTCTTGATTATCTCCATGTGGATTACCAGAGCAAATGTTTTATTTCAGATTGGCTTCTCCCGTCATTCATTTTGTTCCTGAATCATGTTTCCCCACTATCACCTGAAATGAACCTTAGAAATTCAAACCAATTTTAGTGTTACTGAATCTCCTCAAGAAGCATCACCATTTGTGTTTCCTGCCATCACGTCAAACTCCAGCCATTAGTGAGGTTTTGTGGTGAATAGAATGGTCTGGAGTTCAAAGGCATTTCTAGCCTTCCTTTAGTGTCTTGTGGCTTCAGCAAAGTCATTTAACTTCTCTGGGCCTCACTCACCTGCTCTTCCTCTTAAACATGGCAGGGTTGTTTTTTTTCAGTCTAAACTTTACAATATACTTTTGAGTAATTCATCTCTCTATAGCATACTCCCTCTCGAAGAACCCTGTTTGGGTCATTAATCTCTTAGTTCTTCCAGATAAATGAATCAGGAATCTGTTTCATTCTTTGATTTCCTTCTCCTTCATCTTCCATATCAAGTCAGTCATTAAATCCAGTTCTTCTTTGAGACATCCATCTTCTTTTGGTATCACTGCCTTCCCCGCTCAGTGGGATTTTATGATCAAGCACTTCACCTACACTCTCAGCAACCTTCAACCCAAAACAGCCCAATCATCTGCCACATCGGTTCACAAACTCTGGCCTAGCCGGCGTAGCTGCGAGTATTGTATAATCACACATGTTGGCTCCAGTAAAGCTTATTTCTGTTCTCACACTGCTCGGTTCTCCTTGACAAGCTTTTTATCTTTTGCTTTCTTTTCCCATTCTTGTTAGCAGTTTTCCCAACTTTTATAACTTTTCTAGACTTCGTACTCTATCCCTCACCCTCTCGTATTCAACTGCAGAGCTCTTTTACTTCAGTGAGAAGTAGGATCCTTCGAGTATGAAGTCTCACCGTTGCTTATGCTTACTTTCAGAGGTGTCACTGTTTTTCTTTTTTCTTCTTACCCATCCGCTTTAGGACTTTGCTTAATCTGTGGTGTCTTTTTTGGGTCAAGTTTTCTTTCTCCACTGATTTATCTCAATTGATAAACCTATTCAGATCTTCCCTAACCTTCAAAAATCTTTTGACGTTACCTCTCCACTCAAGCATTTCCTGTCTTTTCCTTTTACTTCATTTCCCATTAACTTTTTAAAACAGCTTTATTGAGATATAATTCACATACCATACAATTTACTAAATTAAAGCATGCAATTCAAAGCTTTTAGTATACTCTCAGAGTTATCCTAAAATTGATTGTGGGAATGGTTGCACATTATCATTACCCCAAAAAGAAACCCCACTGCTTAGCAGTCACTCCCCAAACCTCGCCATTCTCCTTTCTCTGCCTAGCCCACCACTAATCTACTTTCTGTCTCTCTAGATTTGCCCATTTGGACATTTCGTATAAGTGGAATCATACAACTGTATATGGTCCTTTGTGATTGGCTTCTTTCACTTAGCGTAATGTTTTCAAGGTTCATGTTGTAGCATATATCAATACTGATTTCCTTTTTATTGCCAAATACTCCATTGTATGGATATATCACGTTTAATTTATCCATTCATCACTTGATAGACATGTGAGTTGTTCTGTTTGGAGGCTGTTATAAATATCACTGTTACGAACATTCATGTACAAATTTTTATGTGGACATGTTTTCATTTCTCTTAGATACATACCTAGGAGTTGAATTGCTAGGTCATATGGTATCTTTATGTTTAACCATTTGATGAACTGCCAAACTGTTTTCCAAGGCGACAGCACCATTTTATATTCCCACTAGCACTGTATGAGGATGTCAGTTTCTCTGCATCCTCACCAACACTTGTTATTTTCTAACATTTTGATTATAGTTGTCCTAGTGGGTATGAAGTGGTATCTCATTGTAGTTTTGGTTTGCATTTCTCTGATGGCTAACGATGCTGTGCATCTTTTCTTGTGCTTATTAGCCATTTGTATATCTTTGGAGAACGGTCTATTCAGATCCTTTGCCCATTTTTTAAAATTAGGTCGTTTGTCTTTTTATTATTGAGTTGTAATAGTTCTTCATATTTTCTGGATAGTCCCTTATCAGATATACAGTTTGCAAAAATTTCCTCCTGTGGGTTGTCTTTTCACTTCTCATTAACTTTCTAACCCACTTATTCTGATTTATGCCCCTGTCAGTGACCTCCTAATTGCCAAATTTGAGGACCTCAAATCTTAAACTTCTTTGCAACATCCAACACTGTTGGCTACCCTTTCTTTGAAACTCTCTTGTCTATGCTGAGACTGCCTAGGTTCAAATTCTGGCTGTACCATTTATTAGTTGTATGATCTTCAGCAAATTTTTAGCCTCTCTGTCCTTCAGTGTCTTCACTTATGAAATGAGGTTAGTTATAGTACCCATCTCATAGGATTGTTATTAGCATTAAATGAGTTGATACAGATAAAATGCTTACAACAGAAATTGACCTGTTCTTACTATAGAAGTGTTTACTGTCATTATTGTTACTCACCTCTATCTCCACTCCTCTTTTCCACCTATGTATTTTTCTTACTGTTCTTTCTGAATCCCCTTTACTGTCTTATCTGTCCTTGTGAAATGTAGATAATCTTTAAGGCTCTGTCCTTGGCCCTCTTGAGACTCACCTTGAAGTTGCTCTGTAGATAACCTCATTCCCAGTAATTTCTACTTAGATTTATTTGGCTCATGACTCCCAAATCTTTTTGAGGCATTGACCTCTTTCTGGGCTTCATTTCAAACTGGAGGCCCTACAGGTACCCAAATTCAAAATAGTCGTAACTGCACTCATTTTCCTCCCTCAACTCTGCATCCTGAGCAAGTGTTCCTTATCTAGGTTAACAGAATCATAATACTCCCAGTTACCTAACCTTGTAATTTCATCTTCAATTCTTCTTTCCTTCCTACCCTCTAAATCTAATAGCTCATCAGATTATATTATCTCTGCCTCTCTGTTTGTCTTTTCCTTTTTATTCCTGTTATACTTTCACAGAGAGAGTTAGTTCCCTAGGGATCTGTACTTACATTGAAGGAGCTACCAATATTCTTTCTTATACAGAATCCTGAGTGTTGTAGTTCAGTTTTGAATAGCTTTTACTGTTTAGTTTCTCCTTTGTCCTTCTCAGCAATCCTTTTGATTTCTTGCTTTGGAATAAGCAATCTTACTTTGCACATTTATGTCCTCAACACCCTATTTGTATCCCCCATTTCTTCTGCCTAGCACAAATTATTTAATCTATAAGCCAACATACCTCTACCTTTTTTCTCTCCTCTCTCTCACTCTCATATTCAGGGCAGGTGAAAGAGCTTATGACCCTGTGCTTTTCTTGTGTGTTCCCCTCCATTTAGCTGATAAAAGACATTGACTCAATACCATGTTCCTCAAAGCCATTACAGTTGTTTCTAAACCACAGCTCTGATTGCATTAGGGCCTTGCTTTAGACCTTTTAATGGCTCCCTGTTGTCTACCAGTCTAGGCTGCGACCCTTTGGACTGAGATTCTTTATCATCTGGCCACCAACCAACCACCTTTCCAGCTTCATCTCTTGTCACATATCCTACCTTCTATCCACATTGGAAAACTTGTAAATTCTTTCATTTAGCTAAGATTTACTGAGCACCTGCTATGGGCCGGGCACTGTTCTAAGCATTGGGAACATAGCTTAAAAATAGACATTGCTTATATTCTGATTCCTTGAACACATCATGCACCTTTGTGTCCTTTTGTTTTTCTCATCCACTTCCCTCTTGGAATACTATTGTTTCCCTTCTCTTCTTGGCAAAATCCTACTTGGCCTGCAAGGTTCAGCTGAAAGGTTACCACCTATTATGGAGCCTTCTTCCCTTCCTCACCTCCAGCAAAATTAATTGCTTCATGTTCGGGATTTCTAAAGCACTGTTTTTGTCATTATTGTAGACATTATCACACTTTATAGCTTTCTTTCATACCTTCCCTGCTAAATTGTCAACCATTTGAGAGCCAGGACTATGTCTTACTGTAGTCTCTGGTACATAATGCGTGTTTAGTTAGTGGTTAATGAATTGAATTGAGTTTTGCTTCAGTGATTTCCCCAGTCCTCACAATCTCTATTAGACTAGACCTTCATTGCTTCATGCTCAGATGATAGCGGCAATCTGTTGACTAATATCTCCTGTTTCTTCTTTCTGTAGTCTCACTTAATAAACATTTGAGTTTCTTCTGTATATCAGGTACTACGTTAGGCACTGGGAAAATAAAGATTAATAAGAAACTGTCCCTCACCTTAAGAAACTCACAGCCTAGTGAGAAAGATTGACAAGTAAATCTTCCATTGCAATATAGTATAAGTGCTATGGCAGACATCATTACAAGATCTGTGGGAAGCACACCTAGGCCTGGTCACAGAAAGCTTCCCAGAAGAGGTGATATCCAGCTGGGGCCTGAAAAGACAAGTATTGTAATTCATTGTGGCTTTAATATGAGGAGGGAATGGCAGGATATGGGAGGGAAAGAATGAGAGGTGAGTGAAGGAACTTTCAGCCATTCTATAGCAACAGGGAGTCATGTGAAAGGTTCTAAAGAGAGTGACACAATCAGATATGTAATTCAGAGAATTTTCTCTCTGCAGTGAGGAAAGTGGGCTGGCAGGGAGGGGAAAGACACATAGACAGTTTACACACTCTGAAAGGCTGTCGGAATAATCTAGGCAAGAAATGACGGTGCTTGAACCAGAGTGGTAACAATGGAGATGGAG